ATATTTGTCTGCCATTATTGGTAGATTTTTTGTGACACTTATCATTATTATTTTACATTTATTGTACATCAAATATTTGCACTAAAGTCACACAAATAAAAAAAACCTAAGAACTCTATAAACAAATTTCATTTCAATTAACATCGTCACCTGTTATCAATGCATCCAGCTCTATTTAACACCGATCATTTACGGAGGTTTATATTACTTATTTCTTCTGCAGACAATTTAAACAAATTAGGTGTGGATTCAGTCCGATCCGATCTGAAAATCTCGCTGATATATGATCTAAATGTTATTCCTTTTCAGTGTTGCAGCCAACGCTAAAAAAATTAATTTATAATTACATTTTCTTTCCACTAGCGTTTTTGGGTAGAATTATAATTTACGAAATAAGTTACTTACGTCAATTTCGGCATAATTGCGAAAACATCACTTGCAACTATTCTTTTCAAAGGTCAAATGTCGTACTAATTTATTTATTTATAAACGAAATTACTTCCTAATATGTCATAGGTATTTGGGACGTATATTAAGTCATTCAGTTACGTAAAAAACTCAATTTAAAGCTAGATTTGTGTTGCTTTTTGTAGATGTGTTAGATAAGGATTGTCTATCATTTCGTATGAAATTACTTAATTAATTAATTAATTATTCTTACCTACCAAAGTAAGTATGTGTATAACATTTCGTACTTAAGTCTGTATGGAAGTTCCACAGGCGAAGGGTGGATTTGAACATAAAGTCGGTTATGCAAGTCTTTATGACTTTACGCCATACAATTGTATACGCCTCACTTAACCACAAAAATAAACAATGAAATCTTTGAAAATTACAGACAATCACTCAAATAATTATTTTCAAAAACAAGAACACTGGTACGCTTGAACAATTCGATCGAAATTACAAACACAAGTATTGTAATACTGACATTAATAGGACACTTGCGGTACCAATTTTCAGAGTCGCATTACGTCTATCAGAAAAAGCTTTATTTCTATGTAATAATAAAGTGCCATTGAGTTATCAGTGCAGTGAAATTCACTCCGGGGTACTACCCAGAACACTCAGACCAAAACCAATTTAGAAAAGTTCATTTCTCAAATAGGTTCTCCCAAGAATCGAATTCGAGACCTCCGCATGCAGCGCTCACAGTGCAAACCGTTGGATCACCGAGGTAGTAAAGAGCAAAAACGTGCAACGTCATTTTCGCAACTTCACAAATTCGCAACGATGGCGGTGCGGTGGTTCGTACAGCAGCAGGGGGGGGGGGGCGTTAAATGTTTGCGCGTACTTGTGTCTTAGGTTGGATGCGTAGACACACGTTTGCACGTAATGTACGCGCAAACCTAAAACCACCGTTGAACGCATCACCGTTCCGAATTTTATGACTCCATATTACCCAGACTACGGATTAATTATTACTCTCTCATAACTCGATCGCAGAAGTGAAAGAAACAGTGATTGCTAAGCAGTATTTTACAATTGCAAGGGAATTCGGCGATGGCAGCTTGCATCGTCCGACAATCCAGTAGGCATATTGTATTGGAACACTAATATAATAACAGGCACACGCCACTCATAGCCCCGTACTAGACAACCACAAATACACCCAAACTCACGGAAGAAATAAATGTAGATCATACAAATATTTCTCCCGACCCGGGATCGAATACGGGACCTCTGAGTGGTAGTCCAGCATAGTAACCGTTCGGCCACGGGGCAGTTGACACTAGACGTTGCGCGGCTAGATTGTCAGATAAAACAGTCAGGCGTTGCGTTTGTCCAATTTGTTCAGACGCTGGTGAGCATCGTGATATATTGAGTCATCACCAGTGGTAGGTTACATAAACCAAAATAGCTACATCTTGAGTAGCAGTAGTGTGAAATAGTTCGTCCAGGGATGTATTGCCATCTTACCTATTTCTGCCGCCATAACTGTCTGAGTATGAGTAACTGACATTACTGAATGTCAGTATTACTGTGTTCCCAGTATGTCTCAGGGTGATGGGTGCAGTGGCAGTGCCCCTCAGATATTTTAAGCTCTGAGTGGCACAGTAACTGTCGTGGACAAGCGTGTAACTTACCATTAAACACACGACTTGTTCATCCCGTCACTAGATGTTATAAAAAAAAAACATAGAGAGCACCTGCCAGTCAGTCACCGATACGTAGGAACTTCGTAGGAATATGCGACAATACAAAACTTAACAATCTTTACAATCTTTACAGGTCCTGTGGTCAACAGTGACCATGAGACCTGTAAAGGGCCCAAAACGTTGGTTTGTTTGAAAAAGCAAATATACGTGATTTAGATACACGACAGAATAGTTTCTTTCCTCAATCGCGAAAAGCTGAAAAAGAAGGTAATTGGAAGACTGCGTCTGTGAGACCGACCTCCACAAACATTTTTAGATATGTCTGTGCCGACCTCGGAGCATTGCGGTGCATTTCTCTCTGCGTCTCAGAGCATTGAAATTTACACTTTATTTCAGTTTGTAATGGAATAATATTATTTGATCTTCAAAGATATAATTGATCTATTGTAAATGTGTACTTCTTTAAATAAACGTTTTTTTTCAACTGCCTTTGTGGCCGAACGGTTACCGTCCCGGACTGCCACGCAGAGGTCCTGGGTTCGATTCCCAGGTCGGGAGAATGTGTGTATGGCCTACATTTATTTCTCTCGTGACTTTGGGTGTAATTTGTAGTTGTCTATATGTGTCTCCATAGTACCCGCGACACAGGATTTTCCTAGTGCGGGGCTATGAGTGTGATGCGTTATTATCATTTTATGTTTGATATACCTACCTACCTATATATTAGTTATTCCGTCTATATTAGTTGATCTACGTATAAATTATAAATGAACTGGATTCAAGGTAACACTATCATTATGTTTAAGTACATTAAATTAATATTTGGTATTCAAAAATAATAAATGATCCTCTTTTTTATCAATGGTCTTTTCTTTTAATGGTTGATGACATCTGTATATCTTTTGATATTGATCTGATAAAACTTGGTTGCTTGGTTGCACCCCCCATTCAGTAGGTTAGGTTAGTACACGAGAAGGCAGTGCCAAAAGCCAATTTGCTTGCGTTTCCGAACATGTTTTCAGGACGAACTATATTATGATTAGTATAATATTTGTATACAAATATAATAATCATTTATTTAGTTTTAAAAATAAGTTTAGTTTAATAAATAATTTTATTTTTAATACTCATTTGTCTTACTTTTTAGGTCCAACAAAACTATCAAAGTTAATTTAAGCAAATCAAACATTTTTTGTGTAGCTCTGAACAGATTAAATATACATTGGTTTTATTTATTTTCTAACTCAGAGAAAGAGGATCTATCTTTAAAACAGATGACCGCTTTTGCAAATTTAAAATGATCATATATAATATAATATATAATATACATGCCATTTATAATTGCATAAAATATACAATGATAAATGTCCTCTGCCTTGCTGTCCGCCGTTTTGCGCTGGCCCTTAACCGGAGTAAACAGTCAGGAGAACATCAAGCTTGATACTTTGGTCTTTTACGAGTAGACTGGTCTTATCGGCATAGAGTTTTACCTAGTAAAATTGCGTGACGTGCGCTTCACCGTCTACATTGCAATAGAATAAATTACAATAGACAGTCTATTTTTTATCACCCTGTATATTTATAGTTGGTTACACGTGAAAGACTGTTTGCTTTGTAGGTATATCTCGTTGTGGAAGTAGCTAATGATATGATAAATTATATTGTATAATATTGATGTATCGGTAGATGTAATAATAATAAATAAATAACGCACACATTCAACATAGTCCCGCACTAGGGAAACCCTGTGTCGCGGGTGCCATGGACACACACATAGACAACCACAAATTACACCCAAACTCACGAGAGAAATAAATGTAAGCCATACATAAATTTCTCCCGGCCCGGGAATCCAACCTGGGACCTCTGCGTGGCAGTCCGGCATGGTAACCGTTCGGCCACGGAGGCAGTATAGTAACATTAAAAAGTGCAATAATTCAAGGTCTGACCATACTTATAAAAATATTTAATATTCTCGATATTAGTTTTAGTCCGCCATACGGAGTGAAACAGAATTATTTTATATTAAAAATATTTATTACGTATGAACAATTGTTTTTTGTTTAAATAATTTGTTAACGCATGTCAATAGTCATTCATTACGTCCAATTAAAACAATTCAG